AACGCAGCCTGTAGCAGACAATGCAACTAAAGAAGGAAAACAAAAGAACAGAAGAACAGAATTTGATTTTAATTAATTGTTTTATTAAGTAAAGAAAAGTTAGATAACAAAAAGAAAATTATGGCAAATACAGCACACGCCGATCACGGACATCATGAAGAATCTTTCTTGGAGAAATATATTTTCAGCCAAGATCATAAAATGATAGCGAGACAGTTTTTGTTTACCGGTATTTTTTGGTCAATAGTAGGAGCAGCGATGTCTGTTCTCTTTAGATTGCAGTTGGGTTGGCCTAATGAAACATTTCCATTTTTAGAAACTTTACTTGGAAAATGGGCAGAAGGTGGAAGAATATCTAATGAATTTTATTATTCATTGGTTACTATGCATGGTACAATATTGGTATTCTTTGTATTGACTGCAGGTCTATCTGGAACTTTTGCCAATTTATTAATTCCTTATCAAATAGGTGCTAGAGATATGGCTTCTCCTTTTATGAATATGCTTTCTTATTGGTTTTTCTTGATAGCAGGAGTTTTAATGCTTTGTTCCTTGTTTGTGCAGACAGGTGCAGCTTCAGGAGGCTGGACTATGTATCCGCCATTAAGTGCCATTCGCGATGCTAAAGTCAATGCGGGTTCCATGTGGGGAACAGACTTATGGTTCTTTAGTATGGCTATGTTTATCGTTTCTTCACTGCTTGGTGGTTTGAATTATATAGCCACGATTTTAAACTTGAGAACAAAAGGAATGACTATGTGGAGATTGCCTCTGACAGTTTGGGCATTATTATTTACCGCTATTTTAGGGGTACTTGCTTTCCCTCCTTTATTAAGTGCAGCTTTATTGTTAGAGTTCGATAGAATATTTGATACTTCATTTTATCTTTCTGATATCGTAGTGGGAGGTAATTTGTTGGATTACAAAGGTGGTTCACCTATTTTGTATCAGCATTTGTTTTGGTTCTTAGGACACCCTGAGGTTTATATTATTATTCTACCTGCAATGGGTATTACGTCTGAAATTCTAGCTGTCAACTCTAGAAAACCTGTATTCGGATATAGAGCGATGGTATATGCTATTGGTGTTATCGTTTTACTTGGATTCCTAGTATGGGCACACCACATGTACATGTCGGGAATGAATCCATTCCTAGGTTCTATATTTACTTTATTTACCCTACTTATTGCAGTTCCATCTGCTGTTAAAGTATTTAACTGGCTGACGACTATTTGGAAAGGCAATTTAAGATTGACTCCTGGTATGTTATTCGCATTAGGTTTTGTATCACTATTTATTTCAGGTGGATTGACCGGTATTTTCTTGGGAAATTCAGCTATTGATATTCCTTTGCACGATACTTATTTTGTCGTGGCTCACTTCCATATCGTAATGGGTGTAGCTGCTTTCTTCGCCATGTTTGCAGGTGTATATCATTGGTTTCCTAAAATGTTTGGTAGATATATCAATGACACTTTAGGATATGTGCATTTCTATGTAACTATTATTAGTGCCTATGCTATATTCATTCCTATGCACTTTATGTTGAGTTTACCGAGAAGATATTATGTTTATTCAAATTTTCAAACATTCAATATTTTCGAAGATGTTTCTAAATTTATATCGGTGTTTGCTATAATTTCTTTCATGGCTCAGATTTTATTTGTAGTCAATATCGTTTATAGTGCACTTAAAGGTAGAAAATTTACTAATGAAAATCTAAATCCTTGGGGTTCTACTACATTGGAGTGGACTACTCCGGCAGAGCATTTGCATGGCAACTGGCCAGGTGAATTGCCAGAGGTTCATAGATGGCCTTATGATTATTCAACAGGATATGGCGATACTGATTTTAGATCTCAAACAGAGCCTTTGAAAGAAGGTGAAGAGTCTCACGGTTAATTTTAAAATAAAAAAAATAGATAGTAAGTGACTAAGATAAAAGTTATTGCATTAAATAAGGTTCAAGCTAGACTTGCCAATTATGCTGCATTATCTAAGTTTAGACTTTCTAGCTTTGTGGTATTATCTTCTATGATAGGATTTATCGTAGGAGCACAAGCAACAAGTTTTGATTGGATAAAGTTTACGCTTTTTACCGTCGGTGGTACTTTAGTGACTTTTGCTTCCAATGCTATCAATCAGCTCATCGAAAAAGATTCTGATAAGTTAATGACTCGCACTCAAAATAGACCATTGCCTACGATGTCAATGACACAGATGGATGCCGTTTTATTCATCGGAGTTACAGCTTTGGCAGGTATTTTGACTTTGACGTTTGCCGTTAATACAACTTCTGGACTTTTATCTGCTCTTTCTTTAATAATTTATGGGTTTATTTATACACCATTAAAGAAAGTATCTTCCATAGCTGTGTTTGTAGGAGCTATACCTGGTGCATTACCTCCATTATTAGGCTATGTAGCAGCTACCAATGAATTGAATCAATACGCACTTTGGTTATTCCTAGTACAATTTTTCTGGCAGTTTCCTCATTTTTGGGCTATTGCATGGTTGAGCTATGAAGATTATCTAAAGGCGAATATAATGCTCCTACCAAGTCGAGATGGAAAGTCAAAACTAAGTGCATTTATTACATTAATTTACACTGTTATTTTAATACCGTTGTCATTATACCCTGCTTATGTAAAAGGAGCTATGACAATAGGTAGTGGGATTCTTTTATTAGCTAGTATTGGTTTTTCCTATTTGGCATATCAGTTCCATAGAAATTGCAGCGATAAAGATGCGAGACATTTGATGTTTGGTTCTTTCATTTATTTATTGGTATTCTTAATTTCATTATTTTTCTAAGCTATGAATGAAGTAACGAATTTGAATCAAAATACGAATGGAAGGATTCATCCGAAATTATTTCTACTTTATCTATCTTTCGGTAGTATGATCATGCTTTTCTCCGCTTTTTGCAGTGCACTAATCGTGAGAAAAGGGGATATCCGACAAGCATGGCTCGAAGTGCCTCTTCCTGATTCTTTTTTATATAGTACTCTAGTTATTGTGCTTTCGAGCGTTACCATACAATTAGCTTATAAATTTGCTGAATCAAAGGTGAAATTTATGCTTTGGAGTATAATAACCTTAGTTTTAGCTCTAGTTTTTGTAAGCCTTCAGTATAAAGGATGGATGGATTTACAAGCAAAGCAGGTTTTTTTAAGCGGGAATCCTTCTGGATCGTTCATCTATGTGATTTCTTGGTTACATGGGTTGCATTATATTGGTGGTATAGTTGCGTTGATTTTAATTATTTTAAAATTCAGAAAGAGCATTATTGGAGAGGAACAAAAAATGAAAATGAATATACTGACGCAGTATTGGCATTTTATTGGATTGGTATGGGTTTTATTATACTTATTTTTTAAATTTATCATTTATAACTAAAAATTATGGCAGCTGAGACAGTTGAAAATTTAAAGGAATCACATTGGGGTGGTGGAGTCCCACCGATGAAAGCGA